AACTTACTAACTGTCGGGCCCTCCCGACTCGCCGGTGGTAGTTCGCACCAGAGGCGCCACCGCCTGCCCTGCACGCAATCCCTCGGCAGTAGGGCAGGATCGGTGGTTCGTAGCGCCCTGGTGGCGGGATGGCGCCGCTCGTCGGTAGGCTCTTTACGGATAGGCGTGGGCTGCTTTAATCCCGAGCATTGCGAGAAGCAAGTTCTGGCCGAGGAGGGGCCGGCCTGCCCTCAGTCAAAGGAGAAGAATTGCCCCAGCAAACTGCTTATGCACGATGCCTTGTCCGCCTCTGCCATCCCTGCCACCACGCGGAGCGTCTCCACCGACCACCTCTCCATCACGTCTCGTGGCTCGTAGAGCTTAAAGCACCAGGTCAGCCGGCGAAGTCGCTCGGAGATGCTGCCATCGGTTGAGACTCCTGTGGCGTCAAGGGCAGTGACGATCGTCTGGGTGGGGCACTCGCGAAGTCGCTGCTGGAAGGTCATCCGTGTTGTTAGCGTAGGTCGACGCGGCTCCACTGGCGGGGGGCGGATCACTCGGGGCCGCCGGATCGGCGTCTCTGGATGAGCGACCGCCAGGTTGGAGAGGAGGAAGGTTGGCAGATCCTCCTCGTCGACCGAGCACACCGAGGTCGGCGAGGAGGCTCCGAGCGACGAGCACTCACTGCTGCTGCACCGCGACATGCCGCTGCGTATTCTCACTTGCATGCTGTTTGTGGACTGTGCTGCTCGTCGTTTGATGCCGACGGCATCAAGCCAGCCACAGCTGAAGTCCATTTTGTGGTATTGCATGCTTTCCCCCCTTTCTTCGTTGAATTCGTCCTCCCTTCCTTACGGCAACACTGAAACGGGCTACATCGCGGAAGCGACTGGCCTTGAGACCTGATGCTGCCACAGTTAGTTGCGGCATTAGGCGGCGTCCGCGAGATTCCGCGCATCGTGGGTACCCACGCTTCGGGGGGGGGGGGGGGGGGGTCCCAAAAGGTTGAAATCTCGGCTGCACGATGTGACGTTACCGAAATGGAACTAGCCCCTGAGGGAGGGTGTAGAGGATGTAGAGTGTAGAGCGCTGTAGAGCTGTAGAGATGTAGAGCGCTCTGGAGCGCTGTAGAGCTGTAGAGCTCTACATTCGGCGCGGGACAGAGCGATGCAGATGTAGAGCGATGTAGAGCGCGATTTTGCTGTAGAGTTTGTTGTAGAGGCTCTACAGCAAAACCGCCGGGGAGGCAGTGACTCAAAGAGGTCGAGCCGCACTAATGGGGTGTCTCCGAGCTTACTGGAGCTCTGATGGACGGCCCTGACTATCCCTGACACACAGAGAGTCACTCTGACGGCACACAACACCCTATAACTGCGTCATGACCAGCCTGCCATGCGTCGCCGGTGCCGCGTTCGTCGCAGTGCTTCTTTAGCAGGCGGGGACGTCGGC